CCAATTCCATCTCTTTATCTCCCTCACCGAGGCCAGATGAGGGATGGCAGTTTCTTTATAATGCTTGTTTTGAAAAATAAAATCTCTTGTTCTAAATACCGAATCAAGGTGTCTAGATTTCAGGACATCTGGACCATTTCGCTGGTAAAGTCCCTCCACCACCTTAAATTGTAAACTATTAGAACCAATTCCTTTGATTTGGAAAACTAAACTTCACCCTTTTCCTCTGTCTCTTTGCAAAGGCACAGACCACCTTTGAACACAAAGAAGAAGAATTTTCTATGGCAATCAAGTCCCGTGATGAGGCATTGCGAGAGAGTCAGAAAATTAAGGGGCACATGGAAGCCATGGAAGAGAGGGAGAAGCAAAAGGCAAGGAAACAGGATTTTTCTTTAAAGAAGACATGATTTTTCTTTAATCGAGACAAATCTGATATAGTCTGGCTCAGATTCCAGCACAGCAAATTTAAACTTCAACATAAGTCTTATTAGCTTGTTGATGTCTACATGGACAACAGTGCTCCAATACTGGTTCTGGAATGTGTGTAGAATACTGACTCCTGAGTCTCAAGGTGCTGTACAATCCTGTATGATGTTTTGCAGTATTATGCAGCATTCAACTGATGGTCATTGATAAAGTAGGCAGTTGATGCCAGCAACATACAGGTGGTAACCAGAGGTTAATATTTACTTAGAAAGTTCTGTATCAGCAACTGGGACTTGATTCTCCTCTTACATCACTGTAAGTCAGGAAGTTACCTTGAAATCAGTGGAGTTAACACTTATGTAAATGTAACCCTTATTTAATGTTGGGCCATAAACCTTTGAATAAGAGTGCAGAGTCTGGCAGATGCAACATAGTCAATGTGGACTTCATAGTGGACAGTACCGCAACATGCTATTAGAGTTCGTATTCCACTCTCTCTTGTGCCCTATGCTGATGGGAACTGAATGCCACAGAGGCAGCATATTCAACCAGTGTTGGTAAAGTTGGAGGGGTTAGGGCTGGCCCTCCTTAGCCAGAATGACAGGTTCCTTTGATGATTACACCAAAGGGTGGGTGGGAAATGGAAAGGAATTCTGGAGAACTTTTCTCCTCCCGGCACACCTTCAAATACAGGCTGAAGGAGATGTTCTGATAATTGGGCCTACAAATTTACCCTAATTGTGAGGTAAACTTTAAACAGTAAGTGAAAGTTCATAAGATGTCACAAATCATAACAAATGTTGATGGGAAAAGGTACAAAAGGGAGACAGACTGAATTAGTCCATTAACCGCTCCTTTTTGGAGGCCTTAAGAAAGTGACTTTAGAGAGAAAAACTGGCTACTGGCTGCCACTCTCACTGTCTCTTGGGACTCGGTCATCCCGATCCCGAGAAATGTCCTGACCAGGCCAGAGAGAGGGAGCCAGGTAACACTGCCACTGGCTCCAGCAGAATCCCGAATACCATTTGGGATGTGAGACTTCGTCTCCCCACCCCGCCCAAAAGTACGTGCTTTTCCTTCCCTGCCTTATGGCTTCTTTCCTATCCCCCCTCCTTTTTCCTGCTGTCTAATAAAACTCTGGCTTAGCTGGCCAAGATTATATTTTGTAACATAGTGGTAAGCCTGTGACCAGAAAGAGGCAGCTAAATGCAATGCCCTCCAAAATATGCAATGCCCTTGATGCTGGTACAAGTTTGCTAGGTCTCAGAGTGAATAAGACCAGGTACTGTGCCTGTGTTTTTCCAGCAATGAAGTTGAAAGTGAAAGTCAACACCAGAGACAGAAACTTCATTTTCTATCTTTGCTGTTCTTTTCTCTCTCCTTGTGTTTGTCTTGTTTTATCTTTTAGGTAGTGGAAATGGACTTTAATAACAAGAAGAAGAACTGCTCATACCCATCTCTACTTACTACTTTTCTTTTCCCCAAAAGGACAATTATTACCATCTTTAATACCATCAGACAAGGGTTTTTTTCTTTCTAAGAAAACCTCTTAACTAAAGGGAAAGGAAACAAGGGATGTTGTTGAAATGAAAGCCTTATTTGATACTTCTTATTTGAAATGCTTTAACTGTGTTTCCTTCTTTTCTTTATCTTTAATAAAAGGCTAAAAGGATTTTTAATTGTGTGTTTGCCATGGTACTAAGCAGGCTGAAATCGCTATATTACCAAACCTTGTTTAAAACTGTTTAGTGTTGGACAGTGACTGGGTTATATTAACACCTCTGGCTCATTTTTTAATTAATACAACAAAGACAAGACCAATCTTCCCTGAGCCTGCAGGGGTGTAGCCTACTTATGATTTATATAAAGAGTATGATCAAAGTAGTCTTTATTGGAAGATAACCAATTTCCCCCCTCTGCCTGCTTTCTTGTATTTTAGATGGCAAACTTAAAGCGCCAGCTAGAGGAGGCAAAGGAGGATAACGACAAGGTGACAGCTGTGCTGGAGAATGTGCTGGCTTCTCACAGCAGGATGCAGGCAGCTCTGGAGAAGGTGCAAACTGAGCTGGGGCGCAAGGATTCTGAGATCACAGGGCTCAGAAAAGACAGGTAACTGTGCTTGAAACTCTCTGACTCTCCGTATCTGCAATGTAGTGAAAAACTAAACAAGCCAGGCCAGGGAATGGCTTGATCACTAGCTCTTTCCCTAGGGCTCAAGACCATTATCTGCCTTTTGGTAAGTAAGCAGACTATATAGGACCAGATAAGGTGGGAACCCAGTTTGTTTTTATAGTCCCTGCAGTTAGTTTTTTTCTGCAATATTGGGAGAATGGAGTCATAGCAGTGGTGAAGCACCAGCTGATTTGCCCCTCAGGTACATATGACCAGTTGTGTAAGGGTTGTAGTTGAGAATACACTGCCTTCTCTGTTAACCTACCTATCATTCTTGTGCAACAGGTACCCTGCACTTATTTCATAAAAATATCTCCAGAAGTCAATCGTGTGTAGGGATTTATAACTGGGAATAGTGGGAGTCAACATCCAAAAACCTTTTACAGACTGTTTTAATATCGTTAACTCAGGGATCGGCAACCTTTGGCATGCGGCCCATCAGGGTAAGCCCCTGGCAGGCCGGGCCAGTTTGTTTACCTTCTGCGTCCACAGGTTTGACCGATCGCAGCTCCCACTGGCCACGGTTCACCGCTCCAGGCCAATGGGGGCTGCGGGAAGGGTGACCTGCACATCCCTTGGCCCGCGCCGCTTCCTGTGGCCCCTATTGGCCTGGAGCGGCGAATCGCGGCCAGTGGGAGTTGCGATCGGCTGAACCTGCAGACGCGGCAGGTAAACAAACCGGCCCGGCCCACCAGGGGCTTACCTGATGGGCCTCGCGCCAAAGGTTACTGATCCCTGCCTTAACATGTAACATTTTTCCCCACTGAGGCATAACTCCTTGAGTATCTCTGCAAATTTCAGGGCGCACATACCCTGCAATTTGTCTTACTTTGTGTAGTAACTGTTGATTCTTGAAATTTTAGGGGAAGTGCTCTGTTATTATAAAGCCAATATCTGATTATTAATCCCTATAGGAACTTACGTAGGCATCTAGCAGAGAGGAAATTGTAGTGTAAATGTAAATAGCACATTAACTATTTTTGTCTCTGATCTACCTTGATTAGCACATGGAAAGACTACTCCATTTCCTGTGTGGACAGAATTTATTCTGTATTTTTTTGAGGTTTTTATTCTAGTTTGAACCAGTTAACATCCTGGCCCAAAATCTCACAGGTCAAAGATATCTGAGAATTTGCAGCACTTTCCTCTTTATGTTTGTTGACTGTGTGTTAATTGTAAAAGAAAGTTTCAGATTAATGAGTTGGCAGAACATGTAATTACAGTTGTGATGTGAGCCAGTGAAGCATGTCAGCCACATGTACAATGGTATTTATGGGCAGGCAACTCCTGTCAGCCATGTGTATAGTGCCAGTCATGATACTATAGGCCAGCAATCCCTGTGTTGCAGATTTTCATGAATGGGAGATGACTGTACATTGCTGCATAGCAAATCATAGTGCTGGGAATTCAATGATGCTATAAAATTAAAACTGATCTTGGATGCCTAGACCTATGGCTATACCAGTTAGCTAACATTAACATCATTTGGCCTACCTTTACATGCTGCTTGGGAATACACCAAGTGGTATGATATCAGTGGCTGAAGCCAATTCATAATCTCATGGTGTGCATAAGAAGGGGAAGAAATTGGGGGTTGAGAGAGAAGATTGACAAATTAAAATTCAGTTCTAGTCCAAACCAAATACTTTGAAGGTAGAAAACTGAACTGTGATATGATCTCTGCTCTACAGGGCAAAGGAATGCATAGATATCTTTGCTGTTAACCATGTCCCTTGATCGATTCTTTATTCTCTAACTCTGTTTGTTTGCAGGACCCAGAACCAACAAAAAATCCAGAGATTAGAGGTAGAATTGGAACAGTACCAAGCCAAACTGGTTGTCATAGAAACTCAGCACAATAGTCAGGTAGAGACCAAGTTTTTCCAATGATAACAGGTTTGATTAGTTCTGTGGTACTGAACCATCCTGCTTTTTTGGAAGATGGAATGTGGGGGAGTACCTGCTGGGAAACTTACAAGGCAAAATCTGTAAACCTTGGGGTAGATCATTTTCTGGAGATTATAGAAAGGAAGTTTTACTCCATCCAGAGATGCCTTGAGAGATGTAAACTTCCAACTGTCTTCAAATGGGAACAGAGAATGTGGACAAATGTTTCTGAAATGTGCATTTCCTTCTCATTAATATCTTTATTTTGTTCTTCACATTCTCCTCTTTACCTCTCTTTTTTTTGGGGTGGGGGGCATTGCTGCTTGTGTTTAAACTTAGAAATATTTAGTCTAGTCTTCTGTTTTTTTGCTGGATGGAGGCATCTCTTGGGCCATGTCTATACCAGGAGAAAGTTAAAACAAAATAGGTTTTAAAACACAATTCTAACACTTAAAGACAATTTTGCTCTTAACGTAGACAGGGCCGTTATTAGTGTCAGTCATGGTTATGCCTACCATGGAAAGCCTTCATTTGGAAGGAAGTTTGCTGTCTTGTGAAGCCTTGATGGAAAGCAGGATGTGATGCTTGGTCTTCTGAAATTGAGTCTGAGGATTTCCCTCTGGCAAATACAAATGGTGTGTTAGCAGCCTCTGCTTAATGACTATCAATTGTGGGCAACTGGTGGCCAGAATTCTAGTTCAGTGAACTGACACTGACTGGGAAAAAGATCCCTTCTGTTCTTACTGGGGAGGTGGTGAGGGAAGGAGTGTTTATACAAGTTCTTTTCATCCAACTAAATATAAATTAGATCTCTCTCTCTTTACCCCTGAGGTGGACCCACTTTGTAAAGCACTAGAAGTCGCTAGAGCAGACAATAAGAAGCTTGCTTTGAGTTTGGAACAAGCTCTGCAGGCCAATAGTACCCTGCAGAGCAAGGTGATACATACTCAGGAAGAATTGGACAGGAAAGAAATTGAGCATCAGCAATTGATGGCCTGCAGGTAAGAACAAGGGCAAGGTGCCGTGGCCGAGGAACAATTCGCTTTTCCATTTCTAACTGCAGAGCTTGTGGCCCTTTCCGTCCTTTTGTCAGTTGCAGCAACAATCTCTGTGGTGTTGCTGTTGCGCCAGCAGCTTGGTGGATTGATGGGCCGGTGCAAAGCCACATGCACGAGCTATTTGCCTGCTGATGCAGTGACTTCTCCGGGCTCCTCTGCAGTGTTGGAAGGCTGCAAATGGAGCCCAGTCTTTCCTCTGGGCTGTATGTGCGGCACAGCCCAGAATGCAGGAGCACTATACTGCTGTTTGAGTGAGTCACATGCCTGCGTGGCTGGCAGCACTTGCCACTGACAGCCTTGCGATATAGCTATTGTTCCTGTACTGCCAGCAAGGGATGGGGGCGGGGAAGGAGTCTGCCTCCTGGAAACTGCAGGCTGCTTGCTGATGGAATCCTTCAGGATTTCCTTAGAGATGAGGAACGCTATGAGCTGGAGCAGTCCACCTCATTCTCCTGTCAGAACTCTGCAGGCTGGCCTAGAGCAGCCACCTGCTGGCTCTGAGGGAAAAGCCTCCCTCAGGCAAGGAAAATCTGTCTTGTATTGCTATTTGGAGCTGTTGTTGAGGAAAGAAATGTGCTGAACATGCAGTTGGATGAACAGATTGAACTGGCCTCCTGGATGCCCATGCTTCAAAAGCTAAGTCAAATCCTCGTGGTGCACATAATGTGGCAAAATGAGGCCCGCCCAAGCAGAGGAAATATTTTTTGGATCATCACTTTTTCCTGCTGTTTTCTTTTTGTGGCCAGGTCTTCCCACTTGCAGTGTTTATGAATTCACTCAGTATGGTTTATTTCCTATAGCTTGTGTCTTCCTTCTTTCCTGAAAGGGAGCAGCTAATTGAAGAAGCCACAATGGAAGAAAGGCTGTATTCCGAACGCTTGGAGTCCTTGAAGAAGCAGTTTCAGACCGAGCGAGAGGCTATGAGGAAAGCAGGTCACAGAGAATCTGCTGAGGTGAGGAGGGGCAGAATTGCAAGATTCCTTCCATGGTCAGTGTCCCGAGAAGATCTCTGCTTCCCAACAATAAGAAAACAAAAGGGATCCATGACACTTCTTGTCCCCCTTTTGTGTTGCAGTATCATTTGGTAGCAACATAGAGTTTGGCCTGCAGTGGACAAAGTGATGCTCTAGCAGCTGTAGCATAGTTAGTGATGTATTTATCATGTCTGTCCCTCCCCTTTTGTTTTTTGTGCAAACCTAACTGTATTTCCCCCTAGGGCCTATGGAATAAACCAAAGATTAATTAGAACATGGTTTCCAGGAAGAACCAAAAGGCTATAGTTTGAAGGTTGTCTGATGTTTGATAGCATCCTCCAATTACTACAAAATCCTTGTCATAAAAACATGGTATATGGAAGAGAAGAGGCAGTAAAACAGTGATCTCTGCTTCTTTGGTCTGTCGTGGGCTATATTCTTTCTATAATCTGTGTCCTCTGACCATAGAAGTATTCAGAAACCCAGAGGTTAAGCTGTGTATTCTTTCATTCCCTATGAATAACTGGAGGATCCAGCTTACCAGCTACTTACCAGGCACTCTTCCTGGTGATGTTCACAGGAAATACATGTCTCTGATTACCCTAGCCAGACATTTTGGGGGATGAACGTGAATTAACCTCTTCTATATGCCTCCTAGCTGAAGAAAGCCCTTGAAGAGGCTTCTTCCAAATCTGCTGAAGTGTCCCGGGCTAACAGGGAACTGCGGCAGAAAATAATGGAGTTGGAAAAGTCCCTGGTCAGTTACAGGGGGAAGCTAAAGAGCCAAAGAGCTCAAATCAGACACTACTTGGCTTCTAAGGCTAACAACATCCAGAACACAGAGAGGATAAAGGTTTGTGCAGATACCTTTTCACTCTGAAAAACCCCATTCATCTCTCCCCCGAATGGGAAAAACTACTGCTGTCACTGCAGTGGGGCCAGGCCAGGATACTGCCATTGGTATGGAAAAAACCTGGTGCCAATAGGAGTCTGATCGTGTCAGTAACAGCTGGGAAATGCTTGTCCTTTGGGGTTTTTTTTGCTGCATTAAATGCTCCTTTTGCTATGGGGTCACTCTATAGTTTGACAGATCACTTCATGGCAGTCTTTTGTTTCCCAGTTCAGTGGATTGGATAAGGCATTTTTTTGCCAACGGATCATGCTGAAGGGAAGGGCCTGCAGCTTCTGGCCGCCTTTGTGTCCTTTTTAAAATGAGTGATTTCCAGTCAGTAGAACACTGCTGGGTGCCTGTGCCTTCCTCTCCCTGCCTTAATCCTCTGTTGCTGGGCTCCAGTCCCATTCTACTGCTTGCTTGCCCCCAGCAGAGCATGTGTTACTCCAAACCTCAGTCGCACAGTAAGGATGGGGTTTGGAGTAGCCCAAGCTCTGTCACATGAAACAGTTTCACTGGAGCTTCCTCCTTTCATTTAAAATTATTTTCAGGAGATTGAATCTGAGCTGAGGCAAATGGAGCTGATCAAGGAGCAGTATCAGAAGAAAAACTATGAGCAGGTGGGAGCTCGCTATACAACTCCCCCTTTCCATTAGATTAGAATCTGCACGCGGTCACTGAGGTCTCACTTTCATGCCATCCCTAGTCACAGAGCATCCAGAAATTCATGACAGAGTTAACAAGTCTTCAGAGTGAGATGCAGACCTTGGCCAAAAACCAGCATGAAGTGGCAACACGGAACAGGCAGCTTGAGAGCCAGCTGGAAATGGAGCAAAAAGTGCGGCAGCAGCTAGAGAACCAGTGTCAGGTAAAATGCTCACAGCCTTGGAAATACAGTATGATCCATGCTGAGCTGCGTGATCCTATCCTGGGAGCCGAATGCTTATTGCCTCTGAGCATGGCGCTGGGCCACACATGTAGGGTCCTATTGCCGGTGGTGGGTGCTCATTCCCATGCCAAGGGGGCTTTTATAACCTCTTTATAGCTGCTTATAGGAGCGTGGCCAGCAATGTAAGGCATGTGCTTTTATGGAACTTAATATTTGACCTACTGGGCTGGGAGTTGTTATTCTACTAAAACTTTCCAGTCCAGCTTCCTGCTCATTCTGTTACATAAAAATGGTTTGTGTTATATCCTGCATGAGCAAAATAAAGAGAGGGGTTTGGGTGTTATTTTTCCCTCTCTCTAGAAGCTAGATGATACAATCAAACACTTAAAGAAATGCAAAGAGGAAACTGAGCAGAAACTGAAAGAAGCCAGTGTAGAATCGGAACAGGTGAGTACAACAGTGGGAAAGAAGAGATCCTCTGGTACAAAGCTAGAGTTATCCTTCCTTGGGGATGACAAGATTTGTTTGTGGGACATGCACGGGGGACTTTTTAAATGTTAAGAGCAAGCTTTTGATGAGGTGGGAAGTAAGATGCAGCCACAGTCTATTGGCTGGTGCTTATCCCAGGCCCTTCTTCTGTTAGAACTCTTAATAGTCTCCTATACAAATTATTATAGTTTAGTTGGGCCTGCAAGAGGAAGTTCTCTCCATGTCTGTCAGTTTCCACCTGGTTCAATGGCTGGTGTGTGTTGACAAGTTTAAAACACCTGCATTTAATCTGTCCTCTCCATTAAGCAGTGTGTGAGCTGCTATGTTGTACCATTTTGAATGACATTACACCAGAGCACCTCTTTTAAAGATGAGTCACATTTCCCCATGCACCTCATCACTTATTGAAAGCCGATGGTATTGCACAGTAATAGTCCAAAGCACGATACCTTACAGAAGTGTTACTACAGTATTTTGGTGCCAAATTGTACAGTACTGTAGTTATTTTACAAGGCAGGTCTCCTGTGTAGGTAAGGGAGTAAGTAATAAAGGGCCTTTCAATTCAAACTCTACAGTACTTTGTAGTATCTGCATATAGGATTGTCCTTAACAAGAGTTCTTGCTAACACAGGATGTGAAATAACTTGCTAATACAGTGGGAGTGGTAATTTTACAGCATTTGTTGTTCTTTAAATGATCCTGGAGCCAGCACATTGCCAAGCAAAGGCCATGCTCTCTCCCCTCATTCTTCTGTGGCTTACTGTAATTAGCCTTCCTTTTACTCTCTTCCTCTACCACCTTCTTTATGCTTTTCCCTCTAGTTAGAATGGTCTTCTCTTGGGCAAGTGCCAATGAGAGGCCCATTAGTTACCCAATAAGGGGGTAACAGCAGTGCAGTGTGGACCTTTCCACCCCCTCCACAATGTTACAGGAAGTTGGCCAGGATAGCCAAGCAGCATGCTCTATGCTTGCATAGAGGGGGGAAGATTTAAAGAAGTGTGGCTTTGGAATTCTGCCTGTCCAGTGTGCAGCCCAAATGTTGGAAATGTTAACAGTTCTCTTTCTGACTCTAATCACTACTCTCTTCCTCAGATCACAGCTAACCTGGAGGAAGCTCACCACTGGTTCAAATCTAAGTTTGACAGCCTGCAGCTAGAGCTAGTGAAAAACAAACAACAGAATATCCCCAGTGAAAGGAACTATGGCAAGGAGGTAAATAAGGGAATTGCCTTTACTTTCAAGGTAGAGGCGCATAGTTAATGGAAGGATGAGGAACAGGGAACAGCCTGTAGTAGAGTTCCCTGTGTATGTGTCAGAAGACCAATGATATTAGTACAGCCCGGCGGTGCTGTTGCAGGGAAGACTGCTGGCACTTGTTGAAGTGAAGGTAATAGCAAGGTCATCTGGGACTGTAGGAGGTGTTTCCTATACAGAGGCGAGTACCAGTGCCAGTACCAGAAGAAAGCCAACACTGTTTTGTTTGGATGCATATAACATGGGCAGGAGACAGTTTCTGGAGAACTATAAGAGAACTCTACCCTGTTGTGATGTTCTGCTGTATGTAGAGCAGGAGCAGAGAGGCGTGATCTCCAAACAAAACTTCCCCACTTCAAGCGAGGGGAAGAGCAAACCTCAGACCAAAACTTCCCCCCCCTTTCTGATCTCATTTCTTTAGCAGGTTAAAGGTGACAATCAGAATTTTGGTTTCTTAAGCCCTATTGATTTCTGCAGTTCCCATCAGCCCACACCTCTCTCAGCCCAACTAGCATCTCCTTGGGGCAGGAAAACACTCTCAAAGGAGTAAGCCCCTAGACAAAGGTTTAGAAGTTTAGTTTGTTCTCTCACTTCTTGCTGATGTTTCACAGGATGTGCTTATTTGGTGGGTAAATGACGTTTGTTTAACCTACTAGGGCCAGGTGGGAACAGGAGAGGAATGAGGGAGCCCCTTTCTCTCCATTATCCATGTCCTGCTTCTCTCCAGCTATATTTTATTTCTGATTAAGCTCCTACCCAAAAAACTGTATTGAAAATGAGTGGCTCTAGTGTGCCTTCCTCTCTTGCTTTTCTCCATCACTGCTGCCATTCTCCCCACCACTCATCCAAACAGTTCTGTAAAGACAGTTCTCCTTACCTTGTTTTGTATGGAGATCTCAAAGCCTTTGTTACAGCTATGGCAATTCCCAGATAGCTGTTTGACCTGCCTCTAAAGATGTATCTTGAGCTGCTGCAATCTCTGTATTTTCTGCTGTTGTTCATTGGGAATGAGAGGAGATAGATCAGTTTTCATCCAGTACCCTGTCCTTTAACAGACGGAGAAGGAAAAAGCTGTGAAACTCCCTAGCCAAGCCTCCCTGAATCGGTGGGAGACTAAACAGCAGCTCAAACTCATCTCCAGGAAGTACCAATCAGAGCTAGACAGGAAGTGATGTCATCTAACCCAGGAGATTCCAGGCTGCCATACCACCCTGCACCTGTGAATACCACAGTTCAGACCAGATCTTCACATGCTGGAAGATGAGCCCTAAGGTTGAAGTATCTTGATCTATAAGCAACTGCATAGTTCAGAAGATTTTAAGTGTCTATAAGCAGAGGTCCTGTATGAACTGGGTCTGCTTTGTATCAGTGAAGAAGACCCTTCAAATAAAATGCACATTGATTGGCTGGCTGATAGGAGACCAGTGCAGACAGGTTTTGGAATATTAATTTAAATTGTGTACTACAGTTCAGCTTAGCTAATAAGTCTCACCTGTCTGACACATACTAGAATGTATCATTTTGTGAGGCAGATTTCCATTTCCCCCGTCCTAACATGGTCTGTGAGTGTGACTAGTTTGCTTAAATGCTTCATCATGGAACCATAATTTATAGCAAAGAAATTATTCCTCTCTCTAAAGCTTCCTATACAAGTAAGTTTACATTCTGGATCTATGTCGCCAGTCACATCTCTCATTTGTGTTTTAGCAGCTCAAGAGGAGAGTAGTGGGTTGGAATGAGCCCTGCAAAGTGAGGAGGCATCATTATTATTGAGAGCTCAGATTGCTGTGCAGGGATTCTGCCTATCCAGAGGATGGTCTCCTGGATTCCTAGGCTGGTGATGATAAACTTGCTGAAACAGGACAGTTGTCCACTGTTGGATACTGATGGTTGCTTGACCAGTACAGGGAGAATCCCTTCTTAGCTGATGGGAATAGCTACCATTAGTAGCAGTAAAAGGAGCTTGGGCCTGGGCCCTGAGAGGACGGTGCCCTTGGGCAATTGCAGGAGCCCTGTCTTTGCCCAAGGCTCCATTGCTGGAAGGTGCGCCATGTGGGTGTGAGAGGCTGCCAGGTAGAACACCTTGCACCACTGGTACCCATGTGCTTAATAGAGTAGGTTAATTCTACTCCACAGTGGAACAAGCTTCCCAAAGGGTAGGAGGTGTCCAGAGCAGGTGCTATACACCCGTAGTTGCAGCGGGTTAAGACTTTAACTACCATTCCCTTACAATATAGAAACAATTTTCATTCACTGTTCAATTAATGAGCACTTATGAGTAGCTCAGATTCCCTCCTTAAAACTTCATCTGTCTCGGCTTACAGTGTAACCCAGCTACAGCAGATGTGCTGTTACACACCTAATTTTAATTTAACAATTGCAGTGCTGTTTCCTAAGCTTCCTCCAGTTGTCTGATCCATTTGTTTCTGTGGGACTAGTTTGAAGCTCTATGGGGCAGAGGCCATGCCTTCCTCTGTGGTGTGTACAGCGCCAAGCATATTGCTGGGACTTGGCAAATAACAATCATTCCACCCATTTTATATACCTACCTTTATAGCATAATTAGGTTTATATGACGACAGCCTGAACCATTGTTTTAGGGCCTGGTCCTGCCCCTATTGCTGTCAATGGGTATTTTGCCATTGACATCAGTGAAAACAGGATCAGACCCTTAGTGATTAAGCACCTGATTGGAAGCTCTTTAATAGGTATCTTTCATTAACTTCAGTAGCCTTTGGCTCAGCCCTAATCCTAAAGTCTTATGTTGCTGAAATTCCTAAGCAGCAGAAGCCTTCAATACAACCTTATGTTCCTCCTCCCCATGGCGAGATGAGTTTCTGCACACCACATCACTTCTGAGTGGCGGGGTTAAAATGAGCCTATGTGCAGGATTCTGTTCTCCTCTCAGGTCAATAGCAGTTGTGTAGTCTAACTCTGCCAACTGTAGCACCAAGCTGTAGGCAGCGCCTGAAACCCACCTAGCCTGGCACTGGCAGCCTTATCTCACACTGCATCGATTTGATCTAGTTAAGCTATGTAGCTAACTGTTAATGACAAAACACACTGCCCTTTGTCTAGAAAGAGATGCTATGAGGTATGGTCCAGTGGCAGGGGACAACTCCAAATACTACCATCGAGTTTCCTGTTGTAGGAGTTGTTGCTACCAAGGAGTTGCTGTTTTAGTGATTAGTGGACATGGATTCCTTCTTTCATCAGATCTTCTTTTCACAAATACAGGGCACTAGAGTGCTGTGTGTATAATTGTTGTGTATAGTTATCTAATCTGCTGACTTTGTATTTAAATAGTCATTAAATCTGCTTTAATTACTACAGTATTTGCAGTTTGTCATTCTCATCCATGGTGCATGAAACCTATTATTTCTTTTAAAGAAGTCCACGATAAGCACTTGTCCTGAGGTGTTTAGGACTGAGTGTGGTGAGACTTAGGTGCAGTCTAAGCATAGAGTAATACTTACACTGCTGTAGTGCTTTCCATCCTAACCACTACCAAACTATGGGCTATATACTTGCCTGCTACAGTAAAGCCCAGAGGATGGGACAAAGGACTAGGGAAATGCCTTGTTGTTCACTGAATAGTTTTTGCTGAATACTCCCTTCATCGTGGCGAGGTTTGAGGAGTAGCATGACAGGAAGTAAGGATATCACAGCCTATCGTAACTGCATAGCAAATTGATAAAGGCAGAATGCAATTACCTGAATTTTACAGGAACAGTATGGTTAATGCTGTTCTTACAGAGAGCACCCTGGGCTTGGGCTCTGTTTTGTGTCTGAATGAGAAGACAGATGCTCCTAGTACCATGCTGGGGCACTGATTACTGGCACTGAAGGAAGAATAGCAGCTCCAGAGTCACCAACCAGCCTTTCCTGCAGGGCACAGCTATTCCCTGGCAGGCTGCTACCCTGCACTGACCTGCCATTGCCTTACTTGGCTTCTGAGCCCTATAGAATTAGAGCAGAAATAGCTAGGACTGCACTGTTGAGAGGTTCTGGGCTGGGTGGTCTCCATAGTTCTAAATTCTCAAGAAGGAGAAAAACAGCTTTGTTCTTATTAGGTACTGTCTCACAGTACACAGCTATGGGTTGGACTTTCCCGTGCACTTAATGGAGGTAGGCGCGCACACGCTGTTGAAAGCCATGGGATGTAATCTTTTAACTCCGTTTCATGTGGTGGGATTTCCAAATGCACCCAACTCTTTCTAAAAATTGTCAAAGGGGACAACAGGACAGCTGAGATCGCTTTATTTTCATTGTAGTAGGCCGAGTTAAATTCAGACCTTAACTTTACCCCCACCTGCTGAATACTGGTATGAGTAGATAGATGTACACCTTTCATTGACACTGCCATACTGTAAGTGGATAATCAGGATAAGAACGATGAGCTGCCACGGTAAATAGCTATAGGAACTGTGAAATTTCTACTAAATAAACATTTTCTACCTCAGTAATATTTGGAAGATGGCAAAACCGAATAAAAATATGCTCACTTACAGAGCTCTAGTATTACACAGCACTAGACAGTGTTAGCCCTTACTCTGGCTCCACAGCCTTCAATGAATACATACATGTGCTGAGAGCGAGCAGCTTTCTAATGGTCGTTCCCAGTATCACTCAGACAGAACACATTTGTGGTTAGGGTTTGAGGACACTTTTGTAAACAACCTTCTAGGGATGTCTAATCTACCCCTCACTACTGTACCTAAGCACACGCTAATAACTAAGAACAAGAATATCCAGGTAATTAAGCCCAATATTGTAATAATTTATTATTTGATACAGAACTGTCTACAAGTTATTTTCTTACATTCAACTGGAAAAGGAATGTCAGAGCTGGCAGCAACTACAGTTAAAGCTGCCTAACAATTTTTTCCATTCTAAGCCACTTATCAATTGCTTACAACTTTGCCAACCATTAAAGCTAAAGGTTTCCGCCTCCGGCTGATTTTTTTTTTAGTTCTAGCAAAAGCAGTTTGGCCATTTAAGAGAATGCAGTTGGGGGGGGGAAGGGGATTTTAACCTGTGAAAAACAATGTAACAAGTTTCTCTGAGAAACTTCCGTGCATTCATGTTTTGGATCCAATTAATTCCTTGAGTACTATCCATCCTGTGCACTGAATAAAGTTGTGGAAAAAGCAGTATCTGATCATAAAATTAGAGACTATCATACTGACACAAGAAAGGGAGCCAAATTAAGGTTGCACAGTCTAGCATTCAAGTTAGAAAATAGCAGAATTAAAGCTGACTTTTGGGGAAGAAAGTATAATATGCGGGATACTAAATGCTGGTCAGTTATGACCTATCCTCCAAAACACAAGTCATTTTCTCTTACCTTCAGCACATTAGAAATCCACAGATTGTGTGATTTTTTTTTTAATGTGTTGATTAGTGAACAGCAAACTTTCAATAGTAGTATGTATGTGTCGTCATTTTGTCTGACCATTTGATCTCATCATCTGATCTAATATAAACAAATTATATTTTGGTTCCCCAGGAACAGAGTATTTGGCAAGACCATTGTTCCAATTTTCTTCAAGAGCTGTAACAAGTGGCTGAGATTTAATGCATGATACCACCAAGCTAACTAATGTGTTATCTAATAGAATTTGTGTTACCATTAAACTTTAATTAGTTGGGCCAGCTCAAAGTACTACACCATACCAAAATGTAGTGTTGTAATGCTACAAAGGCTTTTAAAACAAATCTTACTGAAGACAAGTTTCAGAGATAGGGCTATCATCATCACTTCCAGCATGAGGTTATTTCTCTGCTGGACAAGAGTAACATATATGACACCTGTATAATTGGAATTATCATTCTTGATTAGCAAAGCAATATACAGAATTTGCAGCAACTCTCTCTCTCTCAATATTTCCTTATTTAGTACAGGAAGATAATGGGCTGTAGGTTATTACACTAACAAATGTTTAGCCCACTAAACAACTTAGGACTTTTTTTGTGTGTTTGTCTTTGCTGAGAATAAGTTATTTAAATGATTGTTGATTTCATAAATAACTAAAGATCTTTACTAGACCAATTTACAATACTCCAGAAAATGGATACCTTTTACTGATGTGACACTGATTTACTAATAAAAGAAAATTACTTTTCTTAAACAGACACAGTTTGCAATGAAATAAAA